ATGAGTTCCAACTACATCTGCTTCGTGAAATTATTGAAACGTACAGGGAATCAAAAACACCCAGGAGTCTGTCTAGTAATGAAGAAAATCCTACTAGGAAAGTTGACAGTCATTTTCCATCATTGATACCTTCAACAGCGGCAAAACAAAATGCTCAAAGGCAATGCATAGTTGGCGCAAACACAACAAGAAGACCTAAGAAGAGGAGCGACTATAGATACGAATGTACTGAATGTAATGTCGAACTTTGCATTTCTGATTATTTCAAGGATTATTATACTCTAAAATATTTCACAACAACTTTTTAAAACTAATATAAATATGTTATACGAAACGTCCGAAAAATCTCATCTCTTTCCTCAAAAGTAACCCCGTCTGGAAGGTGCTAAGCGAAAGTAAATAATGATCATACTTTCACCAAAAAATCAATACTGATCCAAATTGAATCAATTGGGATTTCATGTAAGAATTTGGGATATGAGTATAAATTGAGATTTAGCTATCTATTTAGACAAGTATGGGATACAAGAAAATTGAATAGATATACTGATTTCTATCTTTGATGAGAAGAGTAGCTCTAGACACACACATTGCCATTCTTATTCATTTGGAATTAACTATGACTCGACTAGATATGTTATTTAAGACATTAAATTAAAGAACGAAAGTAATTTTCATCACGAAATATTCGAAAATTCTCTCGATTGTTGTAAAACAATTCAATTATAATGACAAAAGTAGCCAATGAGAAGCGTTAGAATTCTTTTAAATCTTTTCAATGTTATCTAGTTTATATTTTCATTCTATTTTCTTTGATTAAAGATGAAAAAGTTGTCCGTGAGTAGACAAATAGATATGAAATTTAGTTTTCAAATATTCTTGTATTTCTATAATTGTAATTGAACAGGTTGTCATGCTCGTGTTTGAGTTGAAAAGAAAACATTTTCATATGGTGTGAGTGTCTCAATTGGGTGTAGCTAATGTTTTTATTTTTCATAAAGGACGTAGACTTAGAAATAACGGGAGGGGTATTGTCTACACAAACGAAAAGAGAACTCACCGTGAAAATTGCTTACCATGACCTGGATTGCCGTAATTTCTGGATACTTTTTATTGAATAGAAATAATACTGATAATGTTCATTTTATAATAAATAAACACTTAACAATTAATAATGATGTTAATAATATCAACAATAATAATATTAAATGAAAATATGGAAAAAATAATAATAATAACAATAGAAAAGACTAATAACAACAACAGAACAGAATGAGATGACGCAATCACATATATATATATGAATCACGAGAGTCAGCGATAACAAAACGAATAATAGAAAAAATCGAAGAGGATTAAATAACTGATGGTACTTGATTATAAGTTTAGCGTCAATGAGCGACAGCTTTTGACGCTAACATATGGAAAGAAGAAAAATTATGTTTTAGTCTTTAGTATATTAATACATTGGAAGAAGACTTTCTACCAGTCTCTCTCAATTCACTTAAAATTAATTTTAGATGACTAGCTCAGGTGAATATTATGTTGTTATTTTGCATGATCCAGTAGTTACCAAGGAGGTTCGCTCTTACATTAATTAGATAATCTCATGCTAATAATGTACAGAAATAAAGAAAACTTTTAATTTCAATTATATTTGCCCAACACAATCATTCAAACTAAAATTTATGTCAATTAAGTGTTCAGTAGAAAAACTTAAACTTAATATTAACCATAAAGTGGAGTGTTAACACATAATAGTAGAAATTGAAGTGATGTCTGTTGAATACCTCCTATCGAGAGTAACGTTTGAAAAATTAATCTTAACCCAATTTTCGGCTTGAGTAAATGCTCAATCTCCATAAAAGAACATACGGATCTTTCAACAGATTCGATTTCATCTATATACGAATCTCTTACTTGTAATTTGATGAAATATTTGTTTTGTTGCTTTGTACAAAAGGCATGTTGAGAGAAAGGACAATCTTGTGCAAACAAGAGATAAAGCAAGGTGAAAAAACAATCCTACGTTTTTTTACTTGTGAAGCAATATGAAATAGAAGAAAAAAAGCTTGTTCGCTTCGAATGCAACACCAGAATAGTTGCGTCTGAAAAGTGGCATCTACAAAAACTGATTTGCTTCAATTGAAAGTATTATGGGAGAGTGTCGTTGGTATACAACAACTATGATAACAAGAGAACTGATGATATGGTCTAAGCGATATGTGTATTGAGAAGGCATTTTTCTGTGTCCCTCTGTGCATTTTGATTTTTTTTCTCGATCTGAATAATGTTTGTCTGCTAGAATTGATCCGATCAAATTCAGTTTTCTATCTAGGACCTTCAATATATTAATATTCAATGGTTTTTCATTCGTTGATGATCAAAGAGAAAAGAACTATTTGTAAAATGAAAACAATTATTATTTAAATACTTTCATTTTTTTTTAAATACGACTTTTATCTTGAAATTCGATCAAATTATGAATCTTCTCGATGTATACGAGATTTTTTCAATTATTCATCTTCAAAAGAGAGCCATCTTCGACATCGAGATTTACAATTGTACTCTTGTTTGAATAATCGATCATCAATCCACTGATAATGAAGAATAGAGAAAATAATTTATAATTTGAATTTTATCTCTTCACCAAAGATTTGATTTTCCTTTTGTCTAGAATAAGAATTATTAAATAGTCGAAACTTTCTGATCATAGTTAATACCCAGTTAATCTTTTCTGACAAAAAGTCTTCTCCTATGAGACAGACATTAAAGGAATTTTTATTGCGCAAAGGAAAAATAATCCAAGTCAGTGAAATCCGGTTGCAAATGATCAATAACTATTTTTATGTGTGGGTGCGGATGTGTGGGTATAGAAAAGAAGAAATATCATACTCACATCCATCCACACCCGCACCCATAGTTCAAGCAGTATCTCTTACCAGTTTTCAAGCATTCTTCCACTACAGCTCGGAATCCCGGATCTTGTACTATTTGAAAAGATCGCCTTGAATGAGCAATCCATTGAGCACATACTTTTGTGAAACACGATCTGAAGGGAGTGTTGAAGTGTTTAGGGGTAGAAATTTTGGACCCACTCCCCGCCTCCTCCCCCCCAAGACCATGACAGACATTTTAATTAATTAATTAATTAATTACTATGTAATTAACTAATTACCCATCACAGATCGTGACAGACATCGTAATTAACTACTATGTAGTTAATTAATTACTCATCACAGACGGTGACAGACAGGACTCGGGGTTCATTATAGACTGCGATAGAAGACTTCAAGGAAATATCAGAAATGATGCATAACTCACATATGATTGAAGCATATATGGAGTATTATCCTATTGAAAGTCTATAATGTAACGTAAAACTATTATGAAGAAATGGGCTTCAGTATGCATAAAAAACAACAGCTTTTAGAATATTGGCTATAGTAGCTACATCGTGTTTCACATTTTTAATCCCGCAAGGGATTGCGCTAACAGCTTCCTTCATGTCATCGTTTTTCTTGGCGATAATTTATGTTGTCATAGTCGTGCGCTGTGCAGATTCCAAATATGGTGGTTGAGATCGTGAGCAATATAGATCGACCGATGTTTGAATCGATGATGATGATAGATGAAGACACTTGTGTGCACTGATGTGAGTTGTACTTGAATCAACGCAGCGATACGTTTCAAAGCAATTCGAGCATGATGCAAATGCAAGAATGATGGTGAATTCATTATCTTTGTCGTGCACTTTGTGAACTGGTAAACCCGTACCAGTTCTTTCCAGCATGCAGCTGAGACACATTTACTGGGATTTGAAACGACTTTGTAGTATGCGTTGTCATTCTTCAGCAATTTTTTAATTAACTTCGATGTATAGTTCTGATCAGACAAGATAGATGCAGTTCGTGATGATGACAGTTGGATTGACGAATGAGAAACAGTAGAACAATGAGAAATAGTAGAAGAATTCGGTGATGACATTTCGGACATAAGCAGAACAAATTATATCGAAAAAACGCGCACACTCGCACACCAAGCACAAAACAGAGTGAATGAAAATTGTGCGGATCATTCATCGCATGTTAATTCGTCGACAACTATTCCTCGCAGTGAAGAGCCATGAAAAATCAAAGAGAGAAACAGTCCGCGAGTGATCATCCTATGACCTACCAAGCTGACGATCTGACGTCATGCAAACAATGAGCCTAGTCGTGTGCAAGAGAGTGTAACAGAATAATTACTACCGTAAGCATTAATTCTCTCTGTAGCATATCACAATCAATCAACACTCGCTTCAATACATTGAAGCTACATACCCATCACAATATCGATTGTACAGTGGAAACTGACTTTTAGTCAGGTTCGACTAGGTTCGATTCCAATTTTTGAATGTGGGTTCGGGTTCGGTTCGCTTTCGGGCTCTGATCACTAACGCAGAATTTCGGCACATAGTGACATAGTAGATTTCGTAGAGCAAAATTTGCTCTACACACCCATATATAACACTTTTTACGAGAGTGCCGAACAGAGGACCATTTTAGCATTGAAATTTTATCGTGTAACGACATATATATTTATAACTAGATTAATTAGGAAATAGTTTCGTACGGAAATGGCCTTTGTTTGGTACTCCCGTAAAAGGTGTTATATATGGATGTGTGGAGAAATTTCTGCTCTACAAAATCGGCTATGTCACTATGTGCCGGAATTCTGTGTTAGCAATATATGATGATGGACATTTTAGCTTTATTTACAGTGTTTTTGTATTGCATTAGCGATATTTCGCATTAATTTTGTGAACCGCTGATCTATTCAACATTAGAAGTTTTAGAGGATCATTCGTTATCATAGTAGGAAAATCGGTTGTACTCTACATGATTTTAAACATGAAAATCAATTTGGAGAAAGTCATGTATAAAATGTCACATATAGGGTGAAATTATCCTGTATTGTTCCAAAATTAGTGTCTGCTCCTGTTTGATTAACTTCGTACATTAATGTCGATCAAAACGTATACGTACTGCCAAATTTTTCGGACGACAAGCAAGTTTTTCTTCATAACCACCGGTATTCTCTGGAGTATCTTCGAATATGATTCCATGTTGCATACATCGAATAATAACCAATTTCAATACTATCCATGCTAAATCTTGTCCAAGACATGCTCTATGTCCACCACCGAATGGGACCATAGCGTATGTATGATAATTTTTATCTTCGATTAAAAATCGTTCTGGTATAAATTCCTTTGGATTCTTATTCCAATATCGTTCATCAGTTTTCATATTGAGTAAACCAATGAGAATAATTTGACCAGAATGAATTGGGACATTATCAATATTTGTATCACAAGTTACCAGGCGTGTGGTTACACTAATAGTAGGAGCCAAACGAAAGACCTATATTGATAAGAAAAAACAATGAAAGTAATCGAAAGTCTTATGACAGAACATATACAAGTGTGAAATCGTTTTTTGAGTCAGGACTATGTGCATCATGTAGATCGTAATGAGTTATGAATATCTTTAAAAAAGTTCGGGCTATTAGCTTATCGCTACCTAGGTCTTGTGTTTTTATGTTGTTTTTTTAGTACAAAGCCGTAGTCCCCCTCAGGAACACCAAGAAAGCTCAGTTTCGAATCTCAACTTGAAACTTTGCACAGAGACAGATCTTAACGAGAATACTTTATTGTGAAGGTTTTAGATGTTTTTTTGATTGCTTATATTCTGAAATAAGAACATCAAGATGTGCCGGTGTATATGGAAAAATTAAAACGTACTTTTGCAATAGTCGTATCTTAGGATAGAAAAAATACAATGATCTGAAACTTCCATAATAAACTATTCTCATTATGATCTGTCATTGTGCAAAGTTTCAAGTCGAAATTCAAAAATTAGTTTTCTTGGTGCTTCTGAGGGAAATACAGCTTTGTTTCCTTCTCTGAAAGAAAAAACCTACACCACTAAAATGTTTGTGCGTCTGTCTATCTGTCCAACCAATCAGAAAGCAGCAGAGGTTCAGCATTGAGATATACTTTGTTTTCGTAAGAAAAACTTGACCGAATGATTTTCGAGCATGGAGAACATGATTCTGATGTCGATTTTGATCCACTCAACGGTTCAAGATCCGATCGACGTGGTTTTCAAGTTTCTGATGGAATTTTAAGCATGAAAAATATAACTTGTATAATTATTAGCCAAACCTTTTCGTCACAGAAGCTCAGGAGGAAGGTCAAAGCAGATGCGCAGCAAAGTCTGTTCACTTTTCTGAAAGAAAGAATCATGCAAACGTTAAGTATTTGTATGTATGCTCAATCAATCCGGGAACAGCATCCATCCAGTATCAGAATTACACCATATTTTCCAAGAAAGGTTCTCGAAGATAATTGAGGATGGAGAATTTTAATCTGAGTTCAGGTTTTTATATACTTTTGTTATGAATATTAATAATTTTCCAATAGCGTGAGGTAAAACGTCAGTAACGATAATCGAAGGCAGAAAAATTGAATCGATGTAATGGGTTTTTTATTAAGCGTGCTTGTAGTAAAACGAAATCGTATCAAGGATTACGTATCAAGTGAAAGTGTTTAAAGTAATCACATCATCTACATAATTTTTTTTCCAGAAACTGACTATGAATGGCAATACCCATCGTCGACGTTGAATGCAAAATTCTGGAAAACTTGATTATAGATAGTTACAATATAAAAACCCTACTCCAATGTCGGCCTTCTTTGAATTTCAATAAGTGTTATTTTTAAAAACGAATTTGAATCCTCCTATAACATTTCAAAAACTTTGTTATAAAGTTCTTCAACCACAAAAGTTAGCACACAAACCTTCGATTTGAAAATTTTCCATGAAGAATCTTTCAAAATCGATTAGTCTTTCCAGAAGGATCGAAACCAAGTGAAGTAAATCGTAACTGTAGTGGACCATCGATTGTTAGTGAAGGCATAACGCAGGAGACGGCTAGCCGTGAATGGAGCGCCGACAGACAACTAGATGTTTAGTATAAAAGTTCACTGACGCAGGGCTTCAGGAAACACTCGTGAAAAACGTAGAGGCACTAGTACAATTCGTCGCAATCAATTCGTCGCAAAACAATTCGTTGCACATGTATTGTAGAGAATACATTGATTGAATTAAGTGATTTAGTTTAGAATGTTATCTAATTAATCGTCTAAACAAAAATTTTTCTTTAGACTCTTAGGAGTCTTTTTCAGGATACAATGGTTTTTCAAAAATAAAATAGAGATATCAATTTAAAGCCTATTTTAAAATTTAATTTAAAAAAATTGAAATTTGATTTTAAATAAAATTCTATGTAGATAAATGAAAAATACAACTCATTTCTTCCAATTGAAATTTAACTTTTTATTTAAAAAACGCTGAAAATTAAAACAAAAATATAAAATTGAAAACAAATCTTACAAATCTAAATTAAAAAAAATAAAGTTTTTTATTTACTGAAAACATGAATTTTAGGTGTCAAACAAACTAGAAAAATTAAAACTGAATTAACCACTAATTCGTCTTTAAAAGATGATTTAAATGTGAATTAATCAATCACGGTTCTTAATTCAGTTTTAATTTTTCTTGTGTGTTTGACCCCTTAATGAAAGAAAAATGCAATTTATTTTTAATTTGTCTACATATAATTTTATTTAAAATCAAACTTTAATTTTTTTAGATTAGATTTCTGAAATTTTTTTCGATTTTATATTTTTGTTTTAATTTTCAGCTTTTTTTAAATAAAAAGTTAAATTTCAATTGGAAAACATGAATTTTATTTAAAATCAATTCTCAATTTTTTTAAATTAATTTTTAAAATAGACTTTAAATTTATATCTCCATTTTATTTTTGAAGAACCATTGTATTCTGAAAAAGACTCCAAAGAGTCTAAAGAAAAATTTTTGTTTAGACGATTAATTAGATAACATTCTAAACTAAATCACTTAATTCAATCAATGTATTCTCTACAATACATGTGCAACGAGTTGTTTTGCGACGAATTGATCGCGACGAATTGTCGTGCGACGAATTGATCGTGCGACAAATTGATTGTGACGAATTGTACGCGACGAATTGTCTTGCGACGAATTGATCGGTCACCAAACGTAGAATCATTTTTCAAAAAACGAGCACATAGGATTCTGATGCCGATGAAATTCTACGAGAATGCGAATTTTCTGGAAAAGAAGAACATTTTCACTCTGTTACGGGATTAGAGGCTGATAGGAAACAAAATAATTGCGCTTCGACTTGATTCGATATGACACTAAATGAGCTCCAAGTCGCTTCGATTCAGTCCGATCCTCTCGCAATAATGGGATTCGATTCGGTTCTGATCGATTCTGCTCAGTCGAAGTGTACCGAGTCAAATTGTAAAATAATGAGTTTGGTTTCGGCCTTTGCACAGAGTTCACAGGGCACACTTATGTCTATAATTTTATCATGTGATATTCGTGTATCAACAATCTTTTAGTTTCTGGAGAAGAGCCAAAAGCGAATAGAGTAATTCGTGTGGAAATTGGACCATCAATTGTCCCATGGCACTTGAACGAAGTAAAAAAGCCCTACACATTCTATATCGTTTTCGGCGTCAGAATTCAGTGTACTTCTTTCAGAAAAGGGCGAGCGAATCCGTAGGATGAGCGCTACCTTGTATTAAAAAATACCGTAACAATGCAATATTTCGACAGCAATAAAACAATAAACCGAACTTTTTCAGGGTACCCGTAGCTCTTTCGAATCTACATGATGCACATAATCCTAGCTCAAAAGCGATTTTACATTTGCATATGTTCTCTCGTTAGAAGAAGTCATACCTCTTTTGTAACACATTCACAATAGATAAGTGAAGACAATTTTTCTTCAGTCAACGGTGACGCACATTCAACATCATCTGTCATCATAAGATTATGTTGACGTAATTCTTCTTTCATACGTTGTTGTACGTGAGGGTTTTTACTGAGAAAAAAGATGAACCATGATAGACCTGCCGATGTAGTACCATATCCAGCCATTATTGACAATAATACTTCATCAAGCATTTCTGCACGTGTCAAACCTGATGAGATTTTTTGATCATTGGCATCTTCATTAACTGATGAGACAAGCGATGCAATAAGATTCTTTGGTCGACGATTTTCTGTTTCATATTGTTGATTTTGTTCTTCTTCCACAATCTTTTCTGTAACTTGACGAATAAATCGATGAGCTCGTTGATATTTCAAATTGAATTTCAAATAGATTTTAGCCAACCATCGAGGTAGCCAAGGCATCATCATTATATGCACTGCATAGAAAACAAAATCTTCAAATGCTATTTTCAATGGTGAATCTGTTTGAACATCGAAATCATAGTCAAAACCAATAAATCCAATGAGATTCATCGTCAATGATTGACAACAACTTACAAGATGTCGATGTATTTGACCATCATGAAGATTTCGATCGATAAAACGATCGGTACATTGAAGAATAGTGTCTAAATGAGTTATCATCTTTGCTCGCTTGAACATTGGTAACATAACTCGAATATGACGTTTCCATTTAGCACCTGTTAGCAAAGAAATTCCATAAGGACAAAGTAAATCAAAATTTGGCATAATTAAAGGTGATTGTTCGAAGTTGTGACGGTCTGTAAATATAATTTGAGCATGTTCAGGTCTACAAAATACTATACATCTATGTGGCCCGAACCAAAACATGAATTTGTCACCATATCGACGTTGATAGTCAATCAATATTTCAGGAAAAGTTCTTTTTCCTGACAATAGACCTGAATTAATTAGATTTCCAACCAAAATTTGAGGTTTCATTCCAGGTGGATCATCAAATGATGGAGAAAACTGTCGTTTCAAATATAAATACCCAAGAAAAATTGTTAAACAAAGGAGACTTGTGAATAATAACAATTCCATGAAGAATACAAAGTATCACGAGAAATGCACAGCTTCAGTACAATGGAGTAATAGTTCGAATAAAAATATTACTTGCTTTTATTTTCTTTTCTGTTGGCAGGCAGAAACAAGTTTTTCTTGTCGACACGCGCAGTGATAACCGTGTGCAACACAACAGAACGCGTCACACTATTTTCTTTTCTTTTTGAAAATATCTATAAGAATGAAAGGTTCATTTTCTCTATTTAACGACCTTACTCATTTTAGTTCGAGCGATTTCGCCAGTTCCGAAAGATAGGAACAACAAAAATAGTTCTGTAGATGGTTTGCACTGTTAAAGCTTTTTATTTTAAAAAACTCTTCAAAAGCAATGATTCAATTTTTTTAAAAGGGTCTCCCAAGGGACCATTCGATAGGTATTTCGACCCGTCAATTGAGCATCGAGATTCTAGATAGAGTCTTCAGCGTGCCATTTTCCTATAGGTCAAGGGCTTGGCGTTAGGTCATTTCGACTAGCAGTTGCTAACTACTGGAACGATTATCTTCGCGGGGATCGAAATTCGATCAAAATAAAAAAAAGGTTTTTCTTCGATAGATGTCTCAGTTTCGAGTCTTCGAAACCTATCGAATATATGCGAAAGAGTAGATTTGAACATGGGGACTTACGATTCTCTTTCATCGAACAATTAACCTAATTAATCAACAGACGGTATCGTCAAACTTCGTCATATTGCCGCCAAAGTGGAAAGCTTTCCAACTATACGATGTGCATCTGAAGAAACAATCGATGTTCTAATAGAAGCTGCTACTCATGCAGAATATGATCGATTGAAAGATGTTTCAAGCAATATTTTTCTTGGTCAACTAGCCAAAATCGGTACCGGTTCGTTTGATATATTCACATCCGTATAGTTCAGTCGAATAACTTCACTTTGAAGTATGGCAACCGTTGCATCTTTCAGTTCGGCTTGTTCCTTATCACTCACTGTTCTATATAGTTGGTCTCGTTGGGTTCGAAATTTAATGTTCCAAAATCGCAATATAGAGTAATCACCTGGCACAGAATTGAACGCTTCAGTAAGACGGATGAGTTGAACATCGCTCTCAGATGAATGCTCAATGTGTTCGACAGTATCTATATCAGAGTTTACTTCCACTTCTACACAGATTCGAGCATCATTCTTGAAGTATTCAACGACAGCCCGAAGAAATTTTTTCAACGTTGCTCATTAGTGATACGACGTATGACCTTGACACCGGCCTCAATACCCATTCTGTTCCCAATAATATTGTTCTATGTGAAAATTAGTGATAGTGTGTTGATATAATCCGCTCTTTGTACTTTGCGAAAGTGGGAAAAAACCCAGACGTAAAAGAAAAAAGATCGACTTCAGAAAGCAAGAGATTGAAACAAAGACAAATAATGGCATATATTCTCCATAGTAGTGAATCACACAACTGTGTAAATTTTTACAGAGACTACTGCGAAGAATAAGAAATGCAGCAAACAAATACAGGGTGAGCTAGAAGTCCCGATTCGACTTGTATAATAAATTTTTATGAAGTGAAACACGTGGTTGAAAAACAGTTGATTACTGTAGGAAAGGATACTATTGATCATATCATCGTATACATACGATCGTGTCTCTTTTCAGTATGTCGAATAACATAGTGTATCCAACAGTCGACCAATTAATAATGTTTTAGATCTTAGATGTTGACGATGATATTCGATTACATTTACAATCATTACTTAAATGTGGACCTCGACTTTAATCTATCATATCAGAATGTTGGCAGTGATGTGGTGGTTGTGCATGTTCAGTTGGTTGGCACAATTGTCGACTAAACAAAGAAAATAATCATGTTTTTATCTTCATCTCTGGAGCAGTATGAGAACGAAAGCTCTTAATCTGATGGCATAATTTTTAATTTCTTATAAATACTTCGATTATTTTTCTGTTCTGCTTCTCCATACAAGGCTAATGCAGCATTCAAGCCAGAGTTTAATCCTTCATTTCGAGATGAATATCAACTAATTGAAATTCCAGTATGTGTCATGCTCAGTCCGCTATTTTAGTCTAAAAAGGATAACGAACGAATGTTCGGAAATACAGCCCAGTTTTCAATGCGGAGCTCGTTGTTCTTTGTTTGAAAGCCGAGTTCATTTCCAATGATGAAAGTTCTCTCGTCTAAACTGCAATTTCAGCCAAACTACCGTCTTGGATACAACTTTCAATATTTAACAATATGTAAAATTGTTTATTTTCTGTTACCGATTGTAGAACTGCAAATGTTGTTTATTTAGATAGATTTCATGCGTTGGAATCTCTGAAGGTGAGCGTATGAAAGTAATGGTGAGGTGTTGCCAACTATTAGGCTCAAAAGGTGGATGAGAGTGTATTTTAGCATGACGAATAACCGTAGGAAACAGATGATAGTTTATGTGTCCTTGTTCGTCAATGCTCAAATGTAAGTTGGTCCAGTCATCTTCGAGACGAAAGTTGAACATAAACATTGGTTTTCGGTTTTTTTTGCTGATGATAATTCACGTAGAATGAACCAAAGGGGGATGGTAAACTTTTCACTATTGATCTGGAAAATATAAAAAATGTTGAAGACATCAGCATCGTCATGTTTTATTGTTAGAATTTGCTCAAAAAATGGGTCATGTTGAACCGCAACATCTTTTCGTGACAAATAATCAAGTATGCCTCGAGCACCACATTCGCTTGCGGAAGTAAGATTAAGAAAGAGATTTTCGCAACATACATCATTGATATTCGAAAAATTGATGTGAATAATCATTTTATCTAAGAGCTGTAGATGCTTGGAAAAGAATTTCTTGAGGAACCTTTCGCTAAAATCAATCGACAGAAACGATGAGAGATTGTAGATAGACGGAAAAGATCTTGAAGAGACGGTATTGCCAAAAAATTTTCTCCTACATTTTGTCAGAAAGTTTGACACTTGGTTGTAATGTAGTTCTTGTTAAGGCCACCCTCCCCCCTCCTCAAAATAAAATTGCTCACCGATTTACACTTCGTCGTCTTGTGAGAACAGATTCTTCATCCCTAGGTCATTGTACAGGGCTGAAAATTCCAGGGCACACTGGAGATGGGTCATCCTCGCATCACTGAAAATTTCAGCTCCATTCCTTGATACTTAGCTAGAGATATAACAATTTTACTGCACATATCTTTTTATGTCCGATGGCTTCCAGTATCTCCAGCATAACTCTATCACAGTACGATACAAAGTCAAATATTTTTTTTGCTTGAAAGCTCGTCTCTAGGGCTAGCCCCTCTCGTGACCCGTTTTTGAAAATAAGCTTTTTTATTATTATATAAGAACACATCTTTATAGAAAAAGCGCCATTATTGAGGGATTTTTTGAGTCATTGAACTTGTCATCCATTTTCTTCGCTTAAAAAGTATGAATTTAAAAAAAGGGCCACGAGAGGGGCTAGTCCTAGAGACAAGCTTTCAAACAAAAAAATATTATATATATATAATGAGGGTCCACAGAGAATTTTTGGAGACGAGATGAGCTATTTTTTGACCCTTGCTTGGTTCATATCTCTGCCAAACGGCAGGATATCGAGCTGAAAATTTTACCAAAGCCTCCTCACTTCAGCCCCAACACATGCTCCAAATTTCAGCCCATTTGAACGTACATAGGCTGAGATCGATTTTTGAGGGGGAGGCCTTACGTAGAGACATGGTTTTGTTGTATGTTGGAGGGCACAAGAAAATCTGAAATGAAAGTGGAAGAAATATGGCTAACGTAATCTACTCTTTGATCATTGCACAAGTGAGCTTTGAATATTCGAGCACGTCTTATTGAGAAAAGGATCCGTTGCTATGATTGCATTTTTCATTTTGAGGGTGTATGGGTGTGGATGTGGGTGTGGGTGTTTGTCTCTTTTTACAATGTACACAAACACGCACACGCACACGCCCCACACCCTTATTTAATAACAAAGATAGACGAAGATTATAACTCCTTTTTGTGGAAATAACTAAGTGATTTTTGTGAGCATCGGGATGTGGAGACATGGGAACATTGAATGACTGGTTAAATTTCAATGTTAGATGAAATAATTTCGTCATTTCTTTTTTTACATTTGGGACATCGGGATATTGGAGATGGGGGACGTTTTTTTAATAATGGATAAAATAATTTTTTCATTTTCAATCAGAAAATTTCGTCAAAGTCGAAAGAAAAGAAAAAATTGCGCAATTATTTCCAGTCTACTTTAAACTAGCTTTTGTAACCGAACTTTTATGATTTGCCTAGAGCAGAAGGTTGGAAACAGAACGAGAAAGTGTGGGTGTGAGTGTGAGTGTCTGTGCGTGTGTGTAGGTGTGGGTGTGGGTATGGGTATGAAGAGAAGACCCACACTCACAGCCACAGCCACACCCAACAAACTATTCCACAGCTCATGGATATTCATCATTGGAATTTCATCTACTTTTATCATTCACATTGCATTGAAGCTGATAATTTCTCTCGTTGAAAAATACTTTGTAATAAGTAAATCAACAATTTCCAATGTTCTTATTCATCTATTTCTGCACACGTATTCAACAAATATTTCTAATGTTTATTGTTCAACGATCATGTGACAAACCTATTAGAATAACGCAGATTTTATTCATTTATTTCATTAATTTTAAACTGAACAATATCAGACCGCGTTAAACAATCACATGATAAATAAATAATCATGTCCCAATGATCTAATTCACTAACTATGCCTTTTAATACTGGTCGAAAAGATTATAAATTTAATTCCTGATTGAAATAAATTGTATCAGATTTGAATAACTAAAATCATGTTTAGTCCAATAAAACTATTCAGCAATATTATATACATCGAAACTAAAACTTTAAGACTATATATATGTACTTTTGAAAGATGGTAGAATAAATGAAGGACAATAACGATCACTATTAGAACACTGTTCGTTTATTTTCGTCATTGCAAAAAAGAAAGATATTAAGTTAGTTAGATGACG